GAGTTTTAAATTGATTTTTCTACAAAAACGAAGCGTCTTGTCAAAAAAGCTTCTTGTATTCCACAATTTTGACTTATTTTGATAAATAGAATAACTTCCTGTTCATGATTTATTCCTGATTAATTTAGAATTAGCTAACAATTCAAGTGCAGTTGATAAATTTCCAAAAAACTTGACTTTCTTGGAAACAAAGTCTTAAAATAAAGCACATTTATTCTTTAGGTTCGATATACTTTTTTCATGTAGTGTCATCTCCTCCTTGATTGTACCTTCAATGTTAGGATGCCTTCTTCATTTGGATGTCTGGAATTCATCTGTATAAATGTTATCTACGTTCCATTTTTATTTTCTCTTGGATTTTCAAACGTGAAACTTCGACTGACCAAAAGAAAAATCTCCATAGATATCGTTTCAAGCACGCGATGGATAACGTGCATCAATGTGACGAAAAGTACAACAACGCGTTAATACATGAAACTTACGTGAAAGTGCGTCAATCCATCGAAGTTCACAAAAGAGCTGTTGAGTTAGTACAACAGTTTCATACAGCACAGTGAGCATAGCAATAAAAGTATCGTGCAGTCAGTTGCTAAACGTCTTGTGTATTTGTTTCAAATTAGATACGTGGAAAAAATCAGTGCCTGCCATATATATTACTTTCTTATCGTCTTGGGCATCATAATAATAGCATTCACGTCTACTTTCGTAAGGGTAAGTTTCAATTCGTTATCAGAAATTTCTTTGTGTTATTTGGTCACTGTAATTAAAGGATACAATTTAGGGTCTATCAGACACGAGTCAGACTGTGGTTACAGTGGATGTGAATACTTACTATTGTACGTTTAATCTGCCATTCAAAAATTTCGGAAGATTTTTTGTCCTTAATATTCTGTATTTAATATGAACAATCAAAATTTTCAATTACAATAATTCAATAAACATATAGTCATCAATACAATTAATCTTTCACAAAATCTTTGTGGTATAAAATATCTAATTATTCTAACTTCAAAACAAATATAGTACTTTCACACATGACATGTGTATTTAATTAGTAAACATATTAGTCGATAAAAAGATTCATTAGAATACATATCCACTGTAATCATAGATTTATTTCATTGTGACTTAATGGTATTATATTCTGCGATTAGTTATCAGAGACAAAAATGGGAACTCGATTCTTGATGTTATGTGTGATCACTGTTTTCCAATTGCTTCATCTGTTCTTTTTGACGATAATGGGACAGTTTCTAGTCAATTCCAACGAAGAAATCTTTCAAAGAATGTAAGATCGGTATACATTGATGTTTTGAATTATAGATACACAAGATTTTAAGCACGTTTTAATACAACCAATTTGAATTTACAATATTGTTTAACATATAGTAATGAATCCCAATGGTACAATGGTCCGTTGAAAGTACAATCATTATATGTACTGGTGTTACGAAAATGTTTGAACCCGCCCATGATAACAGGTGGGGGATTGATACCATTGAATTTGGACAGTTTCGTACAGGTTAGTTTACCATTTTAGCAGAACATCTAATGACTTACTTTCAGAACCAACAATTTATTTCAGATTTTTAATAATTCCATTTACTGATTCCATTTCAGGTCATGAAAGCATCTTTTTCGTATTATACAGTGTTTAGATCTACGTAAACTGAAGA